GAAAATGACATGTCTCTCTTGTGATTGGTTCATATCAGTTGATGTGCAAAATCGTGCAATTTAGAGCTCAAAATCGTGCAATTTATGCTGAAATCACTGCTGCAGGGAACCAATCAGATTGCAGGATTTGCTTGTGATTTCAAAATGGATGTAATAAAACAAGAATCAACTCCCAAGAGTGGCATCACATGGTCTGAAATTTGCACAACAAACAACGAAGCTAAAAGATCTATTCATTCCACATAAGAAAAAATACTAAACTGGCACGTGAATGTTCGAATCGATCCAAGAACGTATTATAGAAAAGTGAGCTTCATAGCGTCATAGACATTCTATTACGCTGGCAAACAAACTGATGATAATCGACCCGACACGAAACTGGATATCAATGGACGTGGGTTATCATACACCATGTCTGTAAAATCCCGCAAAGAAACGCATGCAGAACATTCTTAAATTATCATTATTACGAGATAAGATACTATTTCTGGTAAGATGTCCTCCGGGCAATCTTTATTAACGCATTAACAAGTCTATTAAAACATCCATGGCCAACCTAATTGATTTCATCTGGACCTTGAAGCGATATCGATTCATGTTTGGAAATTAAACCATGCGTAGAATGTGTCTCGACTGCACATGCTCGACTAATGCGTTTCTCTGTATGTTGTCCTTTATGATGAAGAAGACAAGTATAGAATCACTTAAGAATTTAATTTGTCATACTAATATTATAATTATTAGCTTAATATAATCCAATTAACACTATATATACTTTGTTATTGTATTCTAGATGTTGACATATATACCTATCGATTTCTAATTGATTTTTAAACTATTTCGTTGTTCCATTTTAAATGTAGAATTTTCTCCCTTCGACCCTTTGAACTGTGCAAAATAAAGTCGATGATTCACAAACTGTCACTTTTGAAAATGTTTTACCACGCTTTTATCGCGCACTGCATATTTTGTATGGCAAAAATATCCTTTGGAACGGCTAGAAATAGGGTTTCATAATTGAGGTAATTTATGTTTCTTGATTATAGTTTTCGAATCAGATGAACATTTTTACAAAGTTGTCTACGAACAAGACGACATCCGTACATTCTACGAGGCAGAAGAAATCTGCAGCGAGTTTGAAAATGGTCACCTCGCGAGTATAAACAGCCCAGCAGAAAACGAATGGCTCCACCGCAAGATTCAGTCCCTTGGGCATCTCAAGAAACCGGGACATTTCTGGGTGGGTGCGTCTGATAAACGTCAATTTGGTTCCTTCGAATGGCTTGATGGGACGCCATTCGTGTTCCATGCGGCACATTATATGAGTGCAAGGAACCCTCGCAAGAAGCAAGACTACGAAATGTGTTTGTCGATGACGTCTTCAAGTAAAGATGTGTTTTGGAAAGAAGTCGATTGTTATAACGCGAGGGGATATATCTGCAAAACTGAAGGTTGGTTCTTGAAATTACAAGAAAGTAAGGTTGGGATAAGAATGAGAGAAATCGAGAAAGAGGAAGAGCGAAAGAAAGCAATCAAGGAAGAAAGAAAAGAAGCAAGGAAGCAAAGAAGAAAGTTGGTTTTTCTTTCCTTCCTCTAGTCGAGTGACTTACCAATATTTACTTTATCTCTGTAACTGTTTTCAGGTGTTCCGAAGCGTTTGATTTCACACCGACGATTCGGATACGGTAAGATAAAAAAAGCCTTTAAAAAAGTCCTTGCCATAAAAAAGCAATCTTGATTCATAGGTGGGATTGGCATTGCCTTTCATTTAAAAAACGCCTTTGCTATAGGAAAGCAACGTTGGTTGATGGGCAGGAATAGCATCACAGGAGGGAAAAAACGTTTGCCATAGAAATCAGTAGAATGTCGAACCTTATTTTTGTATTTTAAAGAAAAAGTCTTTGTCATAAAAGTCAACAGTCCAAGTGAAGAAATGATTTAAAAATCCATCCATGATTTGGAAATGCTGCTTTACCAAAATACCAGTTGCTGGGGGAAATTGCACCAATTTTGATAAACTGATCACAGGCATTTGTCTAAAGTTCAATTTCGTTGTTTGTTAGAATTTGAAGACAACATCTGGACGTACAAGTTCATCATTAATCAAGACGACATGCTATCATGGCCAGAAGCTGATGTCTACTGCCGCAAGACAGAATGGGGCCAGCTACTGAGCATTTCAAACGAAAGAGACACAAACAGGATCTCACAATGGCTCCAGCTTCTTCGGCCTATCTTTGGATTTACAAAGCTGTGGATTGGTGCTTCCGATATGGCTAGGGAAGGCCGGTATTATTGGACCGATGGAAGTTCCTATAATTACACCAACTGGGCCCCTGGGGAGCCTTCGGCAGTGTACAGGGGAATGGAACAGGACTGTGTTGCGATATCTGGTCATCCGTACTGGGGACAATGGAGAGATGAGTACTGTCTGGATAAGTTGCCCTTCATTTGCAAAATTAAAAGTTAGTATGCAATATCCTTTTTAAATATCCTTCGTCTATTACTTTTTAAGTTAACATTTCGGTTTGTAGTGATGTTTCGTATCTCAAAGCGAACTAATGATCAAATCAAAACAGCATCACCCAAAGCTGGCACCCAAATTGGCAGCGCAGCACCTTCAGTTGACACCCAAATTGGCAGCACCTTCAGTTGACACCCAAATTGGCAGCACCTTCAGTTGACACCCAAATTGGCAGCACCTTC